GCCAAGAATCAGGAAAATGTGATATATAATTAAGACTTAAAAAGACCCAGAGAAATAGATATCTTAAGAATAACCAAATCAACATTCTAGAGTTGTAAAACACAGTATCTTAAATGAAGAATTCAATGAATGATACAAAATGGAGTATGTGCAGCTGGAAGGAAGGAAGGCAGGCAGACAGGCAGGGATAAACTATGGAGTGATTTCTAGGAGATATTGTTAAGTGGAAAAAAAAAAACAAAGCATAAAAGAGTATTACAGGGCTGGGGATGTAGCTCAGTGACAGAGCACTTGCCTTGAAAGTTCAAGGCCCTGGGATCAATTTCTAGCACCAAGGGTAAAAAAAAGTATTATGTTCTCTCCCAAAACCCATAACTACAATTTCACCATGAGAAGCATTAGACAAACCCAAATTGAGAAGAGACTACAAAATACCTAGCTAACATTTCTCAAAACTAATAAGTCATAAAAATAAGAAAATACAATGTGAGGCCTTGGGTCTTAGATAGTTATCTGGTATAGATACCATAAGAGAAAAATTGGTGAAAATCAATGAAGTCTATAGTTTAGATAATACTATGGTTTCAGTGTGAGGATAAGCAATGTACAGGAAGCTGTTCTTGATATAAGGACATTTACTGATCCCAAGAAACTGGGCTGTGCATTTGGCTGGAGTAGAAAGTAAGATGGGAGGAGTATCAACAAAGCCTAAGGCATGCTCAGAGTGGGATATTTAAAGGAGATACTTGTCATATAGTCGAGACCCTTCCAGTTTTCCACCCCTGCCAGAGTAAAATTCTAGAGTAAAAGCTAGCTGAAAGTAAATGGGTCACTATCTCAACCTCCAAAGGGGACTGTATGGAGTATTTGGGAGCTGAACAAAACAGTAGGGGTAAGAAAAGGAAAGAAAAATCTTAAAAAGATTATAATGTTAGGCAGGCCCTCCTGAAAAAGCGACTCAAGAAACTTCCAGAATCTTAGTTTAAGGGAGTTCTAAAGAAATATATACATACATATATATATAGATATATATAGATAGATATATATATACATGCTTACCGTTCTTAAAGGACTACAGAAGATGGCACAGTATAGCAAAAAAAAAAAAAAAGTCCAGATTGGACTGCAGATGTAGCTCAGTGATATAGAGTACTTGCCTAGCATGCACTAGGACCTGGGTTGAATCCTTTGCATTGCAAAATAAGAAAGTACAGATGGCATCCATGATTAGTTCTACGAATCATTCTAAGATGAAATATTCCAATCTTACATGAATACTTCCATAGCATTGAAAGAGAAACAGAGGTTGGGGGTATGGCTCAATTAGTAAAGCCCCTGCGTAGCAAGCACAAGGTGAGAGTGGGGGGGGGGGGGACACGGGACGGGGGATGGGACATGGGACACGATGACAGGGGGGACAGGGGGAGAGGGAGAGGGGGAGAGAGAGAACCTTGGTAATAAAAATCTCATGAGGACAGTACAAGAATTACAGGCCAATTTCTCCCACAACAAATACAAATGGAAAAGAAATCCTATATAAATTAATAAACCAAAAACATAAGGATACTTCATCATGACCAAGTTGGGTTAAATATATCCCAGAAATGGAAGGTTGCTTCAATTATAAAATATAGTAAGCATGGCTCAGGCAGTAGAGTGCCTCTCTAGCAAGCATGAAGCTCTAAGTTGGAACTCCAGTATCACCCAAAATAAATAAATAAATAGTATATTAACATGAGGAGATGGAAATAAGACCATATCTATGCACATGCCTATATCTGCAAAAAGAAACACTTGAAGAATAAACAAAGAATTAATAAAAGTGGTTACCAACAGATGGTGGAAGAAACAGATGAAAGGACAGAACAGAGGCTTTTGATTCATGTGAACATATTATCAATGTTTTAAATTTAATTTTAAATAGAAAATCAATTAATGTAATTCATCACATTAACAGAGCAAAAGAGTAAAGTCAAATCATACCAATATAGGCAGAAAAAGCATTTGATATTTAGTATCCATTCAAGATTAAGAACAACCTGACAGACTAGAATTAGAACTTTCTTAATATGATGAAACATATCTAATTTTAAAAACTATAAAACATATCATCCTTATTTGTGAAATGTTATAAACTGTTCCTAGATTAGGAAAAAGGCCAGAATATCCACTATCATATCTATTCAACATTGTATTAGAGGTCTTATCCAGAATAAGCCAAGAAAAAGCAAACAACAGATATGAGGATTAGAAAAAAGAAACAAAAATGGTTCTTCTTCCCAGTAATATTATCACATATGCAGAATGAATCTACAAATTATTAGAATTTATGAGAATTTAGCAGAGCTTCATAAAAACATCAATATAAAGTGAATCATATTCCTACAATCAGAAAACAAAAATTAAAAATTTTTACAATACAAAAAATCATGAAGTATTTAAAAATAAATTTAACAATTATATAGAAGATCTTTTTATATGTAAGATTATTCAGAAAAAAATATAAAACTTTACTGTGAAGCAATGAAAAGGTGGATCAGAAAACTTATTGCAGTAGTATGAACTCTCTGTTGATTTATAAATTCAGCACAATACTCAATGTATACCCCAAAAAGTCCTGCAGGCTTTTTTTTACAGCACAATTCTAAGAAATGTAAAAGAAGAAACAGGCAGAAGAACAAAGAAGAAGGACTTGCTCTATGACATATTAAGTTGCATAAAGCTATAGTAACTGAAACAATATCTCATTCACACAGGACTATACTACCAGATTAACAGTACAAAACAGAAGAGCCAAGAACTATGTTCACACACATACAGGCACTTGGTATATGACAGGTGGCACAGCAGGTCAGTGTAAAAGTGTATGCAGTGAGAGCAACTGGCTATCTGTGGGGGAGACTGAGCTACTATGTCTGCTACACAAAAATCAATACTAAGTGAAACAAGACAATGCATCAAACCATAAAGAAAAGTACTGACAAAAATTTGTCACATTAAAATGAAGAACTTCTATTCAAGGAGCAATTTTTTTAGAAAGAAAAGAAAACCACAAAGTAGAAGATACTTGAAAACCACATAAACAACAAAGAAATTAGAAACGAATATATAAAAATTCCTATAAATTAATGAGAAAAAGACAATCAGAAAAATGAGCAAAGTCAACCTGGGGGTACTTCACAAAAGAGAAAATACAAAAGACACTTTAAGTCACTAGTAACCAGAGGAATGCAAATTAAAACCACAATGAAACCATTCACTACTAAGACTGACAAAAATTTAAAATACTGTAATAGCAAGCAGTGATAAAGATACAGAATAACAGGAAGACTCCTATTCTTCATGATGATGCAAAGTGGTACAACCATTTTGGAAAACAGTTGGCAACATATAGTACTATTGAAGAAATGCATGCTCTATAATCTAACAATTTCACTCCAAGGTTTATATTCCATTCAAATGTAGGTAAATGTGCACCAGGAAACATGACAAGAATGTTTTTAACAGCCAGAGGCTCTAAAACCTGAATAAACCAAATGTCCATCTGTGAAAGAATTAGTAACTTTGTGGCATATCCATAAAATAGAATTCAATGCAGACATGAAAATGAACAAATCACAGCCACTCAATGGATAAATCTCAAAAAGTCTTTTAAAAAGGTAAAACAAAGAGAATGGGTAATTTAAAAACGATAAGTCAAGTTCAGGAATGCATAGGTAAGCTATAAAATTATAAAGATAAGCAAGGAAATTATCACTTCAAAAGTCACAATAATGGCTAACTATAGGTCAGAGAGATGGTTACAATTGGCAAAGAGCATGGAGGGGCAGGGTCAATTTTGCTAATAATGTGCTCTTAATCTGAGTGAAGGTTACATCAGTATTTGCTTTACAACTGTTAGTCTGTGCGTAAGTTTTTACACACTTTCTGAATATATATTTTACAATAAAAATAGAAAAGAAAAACAGGGAGTCTTCACTATCATAACATGTTATCCTAATGCTGGCGACTTAAGGTTCCTCAGGGAAGCAAAAGTAGTCATAATATGACAACATTCACAAACAAACTTTCCTCGATCTGGTTAACACACTCGCAACTTCTCTGATTGTAAGCATTTACAGTAGAAATAAAAAGGCAAATCGTTTGCAAATTCATCCATTCAACAAATATTTAGTAAATGTCTACTGGCTGCCAACACTGTTCTAGAGGATCAGCAAAATCCAGCACAGATAAAAGGCCAGAGGGAAGACACGAGAACCTCCATTCCCATACCAACTGGCCTTCACCCGCCTACCCTCCTTTCCTACCAAGTTTCAAACATGAAGAACCTAAAAAAGTCAAGACACACATCAAGTTATTGCCAAAATCACTACTTTAGGGAGGATTTTCCCTAATCAATCCTCCTGGTTTCCCATGTTTTCAAGTGGGCTGAGATGGCCAAATCAAGAGCCCTGAATCGCTGGGCACCAGTGACTCATGCCTGTAATGTTAGCTTCTTGGGAGGCCAAGGATCACGGTTAGAGACCAACCTGGGAAAATAGTTCAAGAGACCCCCATCTCCAAAATAACCAGAGCAAAATGGATTGGAGGTGTCAAAGCCCAGAATTCAAACCCCAGTGTCACAAAAATAAATAGCCCTAAGGCACTAGTCTTAACAATAGTGAGATGTGGAAAATGGTCCTACCTGAAGTCAAAACTGTAGGAATGCTTTCACCGGGGATCCACAGACCAGAGCCTTGCAACTTTTCAGAAACTGTGAAATTATATCCTAGATTATGTGCACAACTGTATTTTCTCAGGTCAAAGTCTAAAACTTTCTCGTGGTTCTCAAAGGAGTTCAACCACAAAGGATGAAGAATGACTGCTCCCAAGAACTCGCACAGCCTAGTTTTCGAGGGAAACGTGAAATGAAAACGTATGTGGTCACAACTAGGACACCTGAGTTGAATGAAACCCAGGTGTCCGAGCCCTAGCCTAGGCTCCAAATGCCCCATACTTACTCTCAGCTCTTCGAAGGCTTCATCTAGGGTGGAGAGCTGGTGGCCCTGGTGAGCCCCAATGACTGGACACAGGACACAGATGAGCTGCGTATCCTCCTGGCAATAGGTGCTCAAATCGAGCCCATGGTCGGACACTTCCTCTTGGCCACTCTCTCTGCCTCCATTTCTATTTCTGGGTCAAATTCGCTTTCTGCCTCAGTTTCCCCTTCCGCCTCAGATTCTCCTTCTTGGTTGTCTTCCTCCGCCTCGCTTTCTTGCTCATCCTCCATCTCCTCCTCGCTGTCCTCTTCACTCTCTTCCTCGCTCTCCTCCTCGCTCTCTTCCTCAGTCTCACTCTCTTCCTCCGACTCACTGTCTTCCTCAGACTCGCTCTCTTCCCCCGCCTCACTTTCTACTTCCCCGTCGGCCTCCACCTTGGCCTCGACATCTTCCTTCCCCGCCCCCTCGACGCCAGCTGGCGGGGCCCAGGCCTGGGCGCCATGGACATAGCCGGCCAGGTGGTGCGTGAGGAACTTCTGCTTGTGCGCCTCGGCGTGGCGGCGGCAGTAACAGAAGCCGCATTCCCGACACACCTCCTCGGCGCCCGGGGCCTCGTCGGGCTCGCACTCGTCACACGTGCCGTCGGGAGGCAGCTCCTCGAAGGCCGCGCCCACTCCGGAGGCCATGTGGCTGCAGTGACGCGGCCCAGGCCTCCGGGCTTTCTCTAGGCGCGGCTCTGCACGTCCCCTTTCCCTCGCTCCCGGGTGCCCTTCCCGAGAGGTGCTGCCGCCCTACTGCGCTGGGCCGGGCCGCGCCGCGTCTCAGAGCAGGGCCTGGGAGCCGCGGCAGCCCCTGCCGGGCAGGGAGCGCAGGGCCTTCCGCCTGCCTCGGCCTGCACAGCGCGGCGTCGCGCGGCGCAGCGCTGCGCTTCCGCCCCCGCTAGGCACTTCCGGTGCGGCCGCCCGCGCCCCGTCGGCCCTCGCGCCGCGCGCCGCTCGGCCTCCCGCTGCCGGGCGAGACCGCGGTCGCCCGCTGCTGGCCCACGCCGCCCCGGTTCCACTTTCCCTTCACCGTCAGGCGGCCGCCTTCCACTTCCTGAGTCACTTAAAGTGGCAATGGCCTTTTTTCTGGGTTTCCCGCGGGGCTGAGCTCGGCCGCTCCCAAGTCTCAGCATCCCCGGAAGGAGGAGGAGGATGGATGCGGTGTCCTGTTCGCTCCCGAGGCGGGCATGGGGCCCCGCCTCCCCCACTCCCTCCCTGGAGGTGTCAACCTGACTTCAAAACCGCTAGCCTGAGGTCCGTGCGGACTTGAGTCGCTCTCGCGCCAGTCCGCCGTCGCCCGTCACATCCCCCCGTATCCTGCAAGGTGCCAGGACTATGGTGGTGTTTACCAGGCTGAACCTGACCTCTTGGGATTTCCTCAGGGCCGCAGAAGGGCTGTATTTGTTCTCTGGGGCTCAGGGGATGGATCTGAGGCAGGCTGAGCAAACATTTTCGATCCACAGCAGTAACATGCTTTGTCTGCATTCCTGCCTCCTAGGGGCTCAGAACCTCTGGGGGTGGCAGCCTTTTTCTGAGCTGACATGTCAGGTGAAGCGAGGGAGCGTGCCAGGCTCTTTCATGTAGTAAGTCCCTCTAGATTTAGATTGGCTTCCAAGAGAAAGGAAGGGGACTTAGCTGTAGTCATGTGCCAAGAACCGAGCTAGATCTGTGCTGGTTGAAGGATCATTTCCCAGCGCTCCCAAATCTTACACGGACGCCACTGAATCAGTTTTAAGGCCATGTACAGGTTAATTGGCCATTCTGTTTTCTGGCTTATTAAAAAAAAAAAAAAACTGCAACGTGGAAGTAATACCTACTTCCTGGGGTTGTATGGTGGATTAAATGTAAAGATGTCTGTACTGTATTATGTTCATTAAGCTTTGTTTTTAGTACAAATTATATTTAGTGCTCACAATAACCCTTTGAAAAAGGCTTTGAAACTATTTTAAACACGAAGGGCATTTTTGGCCGGGTACTGGTAATGTAGTCAATTCCCCATCTCTATCCTATATTATGTCTCTCCATTCACAGAAAGACTTTTGTTTACTATTTGGGAGAGGAAAAAGAACATTTTGATTAGTCAGGAGACAGGGTGAGGTGTGGTTAAGAATAGAAAGGGATGGAATGGTATCTGTTTTCCTTTGATTTCTTTAGATAATTTTAAGCTAGGATTCCCAGAAACTGTCCATAAAATTATTAGAAGGGAGAAGTCTTAAAAAAAAAAACCAGTTTAAATATTTTTAATGTCTCCGCGGATAACGTATGCTTAATCTTTGTTCAGCTTTTGTTAGTTATTTTTTAGAAACCTTTTGTTTGTTAACCTATAGAATGTTGAAAAAGAACTTATTTATTCCAATTCCATACACGTCTCTATTTTACTCCAGTTCATTTGTCTGGAAATTATTTCTATGTCTGCATTTGAAACAGGGATTAATGCACCATTCTGAAAAAAGAAAATTCAACCAGTGCCAACTCAAAGCACCAACATCAGTATATCTACCAAGTAGTAGTGTTCTTTGCTGGGTGATTTCATTGCCTTCCCTAGGCTTAAAAGGAAACAACATAACTTTTACAAACCTAATGTTACAACTTTTAGGAAATCTTTTTTTAATGAAAATACTTTTTAAGGTCTTAAAAGGACTTTTTTGATCAGATGTGGTGGTGCACATCCGTAATCTTGTTACTCCAGATGTTGAGATAGAAGGATTGCAAGTTGGAGGCCATCTTGGGCTACATAGGGAGTTGGAGGACAGCCTCAACAACTTAAAAAAGGGCTGGGAATCTGTCTCATTGATAGAGCACTTGCGTAGGCTTCATGAGGCCCTGGGCTCAATCCCTACTACAAAAGACAAAAAAAGAACATTTTTGGGGTCCAGGGAGTCTGCAGGATCTTACTGTTACTGTTGTTTCTTCTTAATTTTAATAAAATTAAAATATAATTCTATACAGTTCAGTATCTGACACTTTACAACCCTTGCTTGAGCACTCTGTGGTGAGAGGGTCTTAGAGGCAGAAGCAAATGAAACTATTACTAAGGGACTTCGTAAAGTTTTGGTGACATAGTGTGACAGGCTCAATAAGGTGATCTCCACAGCCATAAGAGCTATCTGATTCCCCAGGACTTGAAGTCTTTGGGAGCATCCAGACATAGCCCCCTTGTTATATTACTCTATTACTGCACAGAAAATTGTCTCAAATGCATCACCTAAAAATAACAGATATCTTATCTCACACAGTTTCTGTGAACCAGGAATCTGGGAGTGACTTAACTACTGACTCTGGCTTAGGATCTGTCAAGAGATCTCAGTAAAAATTGGCTGCGCTAATGAAGAAGAACGAAATGTTGTCATTCGCTGGTAAATGGATGGAATTGGAGAACATCATTCTGAGTGAGGTTAGCCTGGCCCAAAAGACCAAAAATTGTATGTTCTCCTTCATATGCAGACATTAGATCAAGGGCAAACACAACAGGGGATTGAACTTTGATCACAAGATAAAAGCGAGAGCACACAAGGAAGATATGAGGATAGGTAAGACACCTAAAAAATTAGTTAGCATTTGTTGCCCTCAACGCAGAGAAACTAAAGCAGATACCTTAAAAGCAGCTGAGGCCAATAGGAGAAGGGGACCAGAAACTAGAGAAAAGGTTAGATCAAAAAGAATTAACCTAGAAGGCAACACACATGCACAGGAAATTAATGTGAGTCAACTCCCTGTATAGCTATCATTATCTCAACTAGCAAAAACCCTTGTTCCTTCCTATCATTGCTTATACTCTCTCTTCAACAAAATTAGAGATAAGGACAAAATAGTTTCTGCCGGGTATCGAAGGGGTTGGGGGGAGAGAGGGAGGGGGCGGAGTGGGTGGTAAGGGGGTGGGGGCAGGGGGGAGAAATGACCCAAGCATTGTATGCACATATGAATAATAAAAAAATAAAATAAATAAAGATTGGCTGCGCTATAGTCACTTGAAGGCTAATCTACAAATACAGGATTCACTTTCAAGATGGCTCACTTGTGGGCTATTCAGCTGCGTGATTGTCCTAGAGACATGACAGTTCAATTCTCCCAAAACAAGAGAGACACGATGGAAGAGGTAATATCTTTTATGATCTAAGCTCAGAAGTTACAGATCACCATTCCCAACATAGACTATTAGTTACAGAAATCAACTCTGTTCAGTGTGAAAGGCAGTAATACCATAAGATAGTCTTTGGGACTATCTTAGAAGCTAGCTACCACAGTCTGCCAGTTGGTTCCAATGATTCATGTGTCTGTCAAATGCAAAATACTCTTACTTCTTCCCAAGATCCCAAGAATTCTCAACCCATTACATTATCAGCTCAGAATCTTACTGTCTAAATTGGGTCCACATGTGGATGAGTCTTCCAGGTGTGATGTTTTAAGTACAGCTTCTCAAGTGTAGTTCCCCTTCATCTTAATACCTGTGTCTCCCACACTCCTAAAAATATAATGGTAGGACAGGCTTTAGATAAGGAGCAGACATTTTTGTTCAAAAAGGAGAAAAGATAGGAGACTCTGAAGAGTTACTTGGCCATAAAATCCTTAAATCTTTTTGTGAATATTTTTGAATTTCCTTAATTAGGGCTCACAGATAATCCTTTGTGGAAATGACTCTCCATGGTTCTTGACTTCACCTGTTTGACTCCTGATTCCACTCTGAGCCATCTTTCCTTTTCCATTAAAAGTAACCCATGTTTGCAGCTGTATACTTTTGTTAGCTTGCTTCCTGTCAATAGAATTTAGGGGATACAAAGACCACTTTTCATTTTATACTGTCTCTGTCCATACTGTGCAGCATTTTTCCCAATATAATTCTCTTAAAACCTAATATGTTTCCTAAAAATCTAATCGGACTCACTCTGTTGGACAAAATTCATACCCACAAATCTCTTCAAGATAATCCCTCTTCTACTCTGAAGAGTCCTGCTGATTGTCTGAATGATTTTCTGAATCATTGCTGTAGACCTTTTTTGAGGTCTAAACAAAGGGTTTTGCAGCTATACTGCATTTCATCTTTTGATGATGTTTGCCTGGCAACATCCTAGAGTTTATCTTTTTTGGAAACTATTTATTTTAGCATTATTTACTACCTAAAGGAGCTGGGAATTTTCAAAACTAGAAGGTTCTCTATTCTTTTTTTTTTTAAGTTCTTCTTTTATAGATCCCTTTCTTTTCATATTTTGCTATAGCCAAAAGAAGACATCAGCAGGTACCTTAAAAACTCTCCCAGGAAATGCTGTAACACCCAATTGACTAGGCACATTCCTACTTTCCACCTTAATGCAGGTCACAGTGTGACTAAACATGTACCTCTACCTAATAAGCACCCCTTTCCCCCAATTTCCAATAACATTTTTTCTTATTTTCTTTTAAGCCCTCACCTATACTCCTCTCAAAGACCATCAGGATTCTACTAACAGCTTCAACATTCCAGTCTTTCACTAACGTTCCTCTAAAAGTCTGAGTTTCTGCCCTCCACCCAGTTCCAAAGTCATTCCAATATATCAGCATTTTGTAATGGAAGAACCTCACTCTGTAGTGAGTCTACTGGTGGATAATGAATTACTGTGAAACTTTGAGTCATCTTGTGGGCTGATTATCACACTTGGCATTTTATTGTCTTCTCTGTCTGGTCAGTAATAGCTGTAAGGCATCTCTAAGATGCTCAGCAGGTAGTAGATGTGGAGAACATGGCAGTTTGCAGCTATGACTCTTTTGTGAATATATGTAAGACTCTCAGAAATAAATGGTGTATTCCTAAATAATAACTGTCTGCTTTTATGTGGCTATTAGTCTTAAGTCTTTACATGTTTGAACTCTGTACAAATGAGTAAACTGAGTTCAGAAAGATTAAGAAACTAATTAATGTTCACCCAGCCAGATGGTAACTGAATTGGGATCCAAACTCAGACCCCTCTGACTCTGTATTGGGATCCAAACTCAGACCCCTCTGACTCTGTGGGACAAATAGGTGCTACCCCAAATTGCCAATCTGCTTCCCAGTAACTTTTCCCATCTTTTCCTTCCAGCTGTGAAATCAATTT